CTCAAAAAGGTTGCCTACCCCTGATTTAAAGCAATTTACCAATGTAAAATTTAAACAACCTGGGGTCCCTTTCACAGTACATCATTGTAGCACTGATTCCACTTTAAATGCCATGACTGCTTCCTATGGAATCCTAGAGTTTGTAGTTTAGGGAAGGATATTTTGAATACTCAGACTGAGATCTCTAGTGCCTCACCGTAAGATGCAATCATAGTGTTATAACTGTGCAGTTTGAAAGGACCTCAGATCATTGCAGGTCTTACATTCAAAAAACCTTTTGAAACTTCTAGATAGCATTTGGAAGCATCTTCCAAATGAATTCAGATATATTCTTTCACCAACCTCTTCTTACTTATGTTTTCCATTCTGGTGACCAATCTTATAGATCTATACTTTTTTTTACCATGGTAAGGAAACGGAAAAGGTTTAGCTGTCTTTCCATTTTCTCTCTGTTTTGCTGTTCACACATGCTTAGAAAGGGATTCTGGAGATATCTGCTGTTCACCTTGCTGTTATAGACAACCAAACACAGCTACAATAGGATGAGCTAGAGCAGAATCCCATTCTTTCCCAGCTTGAGCATTAGTATATTGTTTACAGTGGACACACAGCTGCAACCCCAAATCAAAAAGTCTGTGTTTCTCTAGTCCTCCCACTCTTTACCAATACTGCTAAAAAAACCTTCCAGCTAGACAGAGAGCAAGGAAGAAAAGGGGGCATGCTGATGTAGAAAAGGCTTTGGGGAAAGGAGTTTCACTGTCAGAGGTTTTGCTAACTGAGGTATGCCCATATTGTCCATTGTGGATTTTGGATTTTTCTGATTACCAAGGGATGCAAGCAGTATTGCTCAGCCAGCTTTCATTGCAGTCTCAAAATTAGGGGATGGCTGGCACATTTTTTGGACAATTTGACAAATGATTGCTTAGGCTGAGATCTGACAGCATAGTTCCTCTGTTGGAATTGCTTCCACCAGTGAACTGTAATCAGGGGAGGAGAATAAAATCCCACTGTATTAGTGGTCAGGCACTAGCACAAAACTGAATTTAGACTGCAGCTCAGAAATTCTTTCAGTCCAAGGCCAAAGGCAAAATGATGAGACCAATAATACCCGCATATTTGGACTTAAAGCCCTTACTGACAGCAACAAATAGGCCTTAGGATAAGCACTTCAACCTTTTTGAATGGAGGGGAAAAACAAAGAAAAGTTGGGAAACTATCAGATGATGCTGTTGTGTGGGAGAGTGGGCCATCTGAGGAATCCCAGATGTTAGAGATGGGACTCCAGGAGGTCTGAACGCAGCTCTGAGATTTCAGGTTTCCAACTACAAACAGAGAAGCCAGTGTGGTGCAGTGGTTTGAGCATTGGACTATGACTTTGGAGACCAGGGTTCAGATCCCAGCTCAGCCATGTAAACCCACTGGGTAATCTTGCGCAAGTCACATTCTCTCAGCCTCAGAGGGTGGCAATGGCAAACTCCCTCTGAAGAAATTTGCCAAGAAAACCCCATGGATAGGTTCACCTTAGGGTCACCATAAGTTGGGAACAACTTGAAAGCACACAACAACAACTACACACCCCATTTTAGGCCTTAGATGATATTGGGACAGTAAATAGGTCCTTGTCCATAATGAAAAGGCAGCAGAGAACAAAAGCATATTGCAATCTATTTTTCTGACTGCTTTTGTTTTCTTCTAGGCATGGAACAAGCAGCTGCTCAGCCTGGATGCATTATTAAAGAGACAAGGTAAAAGACATTTGGTGTAATTTCTATGCCTTTGTATATTAAAGAAATGGGGGGGGGGAGAGAGAGAGAGGAATTCTTCCATGAAATATCAGCCTCTAACAAGAGAAAATCAATGGAAAGGTGCTGACTTCTTGCAGAATGGTCCACTTGAGATCCTGGCACAGGGACGCAATTGCCTCAAGTGGCAGATATTGGGGAGCAGCAGCATGAACCGACCCCTTGGCCATGTTATCACACAGCCTGTTCTGTACCTTAAACTCTCCTGTATATTTTGTGTTTTCTCTGGGTCTTGTAGAGAACCCTGTTGCATTGTTAAGTATGGTTCACCAGCCAGATCAGTTAGGTTTCATATGCAGAATGAGGAGTTAGAAGAAAATGTACATTTGATCTTCTGTTCTGTTGTGCTTCAGAAAAAAAACAGATTACAGAATATAGATGTGGGTCTTACTAATGCAGATGTAAAGCTATGGAGGTAGAAAGAGGGAGACAAAAGAGCCTAACTAACTCGATAAGAACTTTGCTTTCCCCAATGAAATTTTCCTTCAGTCCCCAAATTTCTAGCATTGCAGAGAGGGAGACATTGAAAATCATTCACACCTAGAACTCTTGTATTTGCTGTATTTCTGACATTTTAGCGATTCATGTGGCATAGTGGTTGAGTGCTGAACTATGACTCTGGAGACCAGGGTTCGATTTCCAGCTTAGCCATGAAACCCAATCAGGCAAGTCACACTTTCTCAGCCTTAGGGGAAGGCAGTGGCAAATCTCCTGTGAAATCTTGCCAAGAAAACCCTATGATAGGGTCGCCATAAGTTGGAAACCACTTGAAGGCACACAACAAAGACAACAACAAAACAAGTATTATTAATGTTGCTTTTATTTTAAAATTATGTATGTGAGCAATGGATAAAATATCAGGCACTTGATGGTAACTATGGGCAGGGAGATGCAGCAAGAGGCATTGAAGAGCAGAACAATGTGTTAAATGCAGCCTGTGCCCAAGGTAGGATCTCAGCCTATGTTTAGATGAATCAGAAATATTGGGAGATTCTGGATATATTTGGAGGCAAAGAGGATGCAAGTGACTGCTTTTACTTTCCATTGCTAAGCGCCTAGCTAGTGAAGGAGTTGGAGCAGTTGCTCCAACTGCACAATAAATAATCTGGCCATGCATGAAGGTAATGGTAGATAAGCAGAGCAAAATTTCACAGATGGAAACTGGAATTTGAGGCCAAGCAACATTGGTATGTGGTCATGATGACAGAGTTATTAATGAAGAAGAGTACGCAACCTAAGAGAGGCTACAGCACTTTGCTTTTGCCTGAGTCTGCTGGGAAGGGAAAGACTGTCTCTTCTTTTTTTCTCTCCACCCTGCTGACCTAAAGGAGTCCAAAGTACTTT